TTTTTATTAAATTTTTCATAAAAAAATTTGGTCGGTCAAACGGTCGGTCAAACGGTCAGTCAAACGGTCGGTCAGAAGTCTTGACCGACCGATATCGGTCACGGTCATGACCGGTCATAATCGGTTAATGACCGTGACCGTTGCCATCCCTAGTTCCAATCAAATTTATTATAGTTTATTACACAAGCACGTGAATAAATACTAATAATATATAGGGGGTGAGTAATCACCTGGGTGAGGAATAAATTTTCTCTTTATATAATATTTACGTATAATTTAAACTAACTAAATTCTTTATTTATAAAACTATTTAATAATATAGGGAGTAAGTTATTTATTTAATTCTTTTATTCCATATTTATATATAATTTAAACTAACTAAATTCTTTACTTAAAAAATTATTTAATAATATAGAGAGTAAGTTGAATACATATAATATCTATATATAATTTAAACTAACTAAATTCTTTATTTAAAAAAATTAAATAATAATATAGAGTGTAAGTTATTTATTTAATCCTATTATTACATATTTATATAATATTTACATATATTCTAAACTAACTAAACTCTTTATTTACAAAATCATTTAATAATATAGTTCGTAAGTTATTTATTTAATTCCATTATTACATATTTATATATAATTTAAACTAATTAAATTCTCTTTATTTAAAAAATTATTTAATAATATAGAAAGTAAGTTATTTGTTTAATTCCATTATTACATATTTATATAATAATTACATATTAAACTAACTGAATTATTTATTTAAAAAATTATTTTGTAATTTTTTTAGTTGGTAAGTTATTAATTATTTATTTAGTTCTATTATTACATATTTTAACTAACTAAATTCTTTATTTATACTTCCTTTTAGATTGTAAGTTATAAGTTATTCATAATATATTATTGCATATTTATATAATATTTACATATAATTTAAACTAACTAATTTCTTTATTTAAAAATTATTTTGTGATTTCTTTTAGCTGGTAGGTTATAAGTTATTCAGTTAGTTCTATTATTACATATTTATTTAATATTTACATATAAATTTAAACTATTGTTTCTTTTAGTTGGTAAGTTATAAGATATTTATTTAATTCCATTTTTACATATTTATGTAATATTCACATATAACTAATTTCTTTATTTAAAAAATTATTAATATTATAGTTCGTAAGTTATTTATTTAGCTCATTACATATTTATATAATATCGATATAATTTAAACTAACTGAATTCTTTATTTAAAAAATTATTTTATAATATAGAGGGTAAGTTCTATTATTATTACATATTTATATAATAGCTTTATATTTAAACTAACTAAATTTTTTTATTTAAAAAATCATTTAATAATATAGCTTGTAAGTTATTTATTTAATTCTTTTATTACATATTATATAATATTTACATACTAAATTCTTAATTTAAAAAATTGTTAAATAATATAGCTCGTAAGTTATTTATTTAATTCTTTTATTACATATTTATATGATTATATTTATACATAATTTAAACTAACTAAATTCATTATTTAAAAAATTATTTAATAATATAGGGTGTAAGTTATTTATTTAATTCTATTATTGTACATTTATATATTTATCGATATACTAACTAAATACTTTATTTAAAAAATTATTTGCAATTCTTTTAGACCGTAAGTTATCTATTGTTACATATTTATATGATAATATTTATATATAATTTAAACTAACTAAATTCTTTATTTAAAAATTATTTAATAATATAGAGAGTAATTAATTTATTTAATTCATTTATTACATATTTATATAATATTTACGTTTAATTTGAACTAACTAAATTCTTTATTTAAAAAATTATTTAATAATATAGGGTGTAAGTTATTTGTTTAATTCTATTACATAATATTTACATATAATTTGTACTAACTAAATTCTTTATTTGAAAAATTATTTTATAATTCCTTTTAGTTGGTAAGTTATTAAGTTACTTATTTAATACTATTATTACATATATTATATTTAGTATATAATAATATTTATTCTTTTATTTAAAAAATTATTTAATAATATAGATCGTAAGTTATTTTTTTAATTCTATTATTACATTTTTACATATAATTTAAACTAACTAAATTTTTTATTTAAAAAATTATTAATAATATAGATCGTAAGTTATTTTTTTAATTCTATTATTACATACTTAAAATAACTAGATTCTTTATTTAAAAAATTACTTATAATAATATAGATGGTAAGTTATTTATTTAATTCTATTATTATATATTTATATAACATTTACATTTTACGCATAATTTAATCTAACTAAAATATTTATTTGAAAAATTATTTAACAATATAGATAGTAAGTTATTCATTTAATTTTTATTACATATTTACCATATTTACCGTATACTTCTGATATTAAGCACCCGAAAAAAAGCACCCGGGCCAGAATTATGAAAATTTTGGCCTACATTATGCTGTTCTCAGCCAGCATTACGGTCAAAAATTGGGGTGCTTAATTTCAGAAGTATACAGTATAATTTACGTATAATCTAAACTAAATTCTTTACTTAATAATATAGATTGTAAGTAATTTTATTATTACATATTTGTATAATATTTGCATACAATTTAAATCAATTAAATTCTTTTATTTAATAAATTATTTAATAATATAGATTGTAAGTTATTTATTTAATTTTATTATTATATATTTATATAATTTTTCTGAATAATTTAAGCTAACTAAATTCTTTATTTAAAATTATTTTAATAATAGCATGTAAGTTATTTGTTATTTTTATTTTATATAATATTTATTTTTTAACTGAATTCTTTTATTTAAAAAATTTTTAGTTGGTAAGTTGAAAATTATAGATTACTAAATATATTTTATATAATAACTAAGATTTATATTATATTAAATTCCTATTTTAATTATAGAGTAAGTAGTGTCATTAGTTTTAATTTAAATTTTAGTGTAAATTCCAATATATACTTTAATAGTTTAATATAATTTTTGAATTTTAATTTTTTAGATTTGGAAAAAGTGGAAATACAATTTTAGATGAATTTATTTGGGAAAAAAAATTAAAATGGATTCCTTATAATAAATTTAAAAATGTTGAATATCTTGATAAAGGAGGATTTAGTACTATATACAAAGCTATTTGGCTAAGAGATATTGGAAATAAAGGAGGATTTAGTACTATATACAAAGCTATTGGGTTAAAAGATATTGGAAATAAAGAAGTAATTCTTAAATGTCACACTAATCTAAATGAAAATTTAAGTGAATTTTTAAATGAAGTATGATATATTATTTATGTTTTTTTAATTTAAATTATAATTTATTTATGTTAGTATATTATTATTTTATAGTGGAAATATCATGAAAGTTGCTTAGAAACATTTGATATTATTTATTTCTATGGATTTACAAAACATCCAGATACCTTAAAATATATGGCAGTAATGGATTATGCAAACAAAGGTAATTTAAGAGGAAATTTAACAAGAATAGTCAAAAATAATTGGATACAAAGATTATATATGTTATATGAAATTATTTCTGGACTTAATGATATACATAAACAAAATCTTATTCATTGTGATCTTCATGATGGTAATATTTTAAATCATAATGAGAATACAGATAAAATTTATATTAGTGATTTAGGATTATGTCAACCTGCAAAATCATTTTTAAAAAAGTATGACATTTATGGTGTTATACCATTTATGGCACCTGAAGTTTTAAGAGGCAAATCTTATACTCGAGCTAGTGATATATATAGTTTTTCTATGATTATGTGGGAATTTACGTCTGGGGTACCACCATTTAATAATAGAGCACATGATCTTCAACTTAGTTTAAGTATTTGTAAAGGTGAACGTCCTGAAATTATTGAAAATACTCCACAATGTTACGTAGATTTGATGAAAAAATGTTGGAATGAAGATCCATTAAAAAGGCCATCAACTGAAGTAGTGTTAGATATCATTGAAAAATGGGTTTTACTTCCTGAGGAAATGAAAATTGAAGACATCGATAAAGAATTAAAATGCAATATTATTGAATTTATAAATGCACCAATTGGGCATAAAAATCTTGCTACTGAATCTCATCCGCAAGCATGTTATACAAGTCGATTGCTTGATTTTACTAGTAAAAACTTGAATGAAGAAATTCTTGAAAGTGAAGATTTGGATGATTATATAATTAAAGATTTGAAGTCATTAGGTATGTAATATAGTAATATAAAAAAATTAATTTGCAAATTATTTATGTGAAATTAATTTTATTTATTTAATTATTTAGATATTAAAACAAATAACGAATAATTACATGTTTTGAAAAAAGATTTATATTTGATATTTGATATTATGCATTTAACAGAAATTGCTTTATTCAAACACTAAGGCTAGAGTAGTAAAATATTATACAAGATTCTTAGTTTGTAATTTAAATAATTCCTTTTTTTTATATTCTCATTTTTTAGAATTATTTAAACACTAAGGCTAGAGTAGTAAATATTTTACAAATTTCTTGGTTTGTAATTTAAATAAATCTTTTCTTTTCTATAAATTATCCAATTATTAAATATAAATTATCAAAATAATATTAACATATAAAACCATTTCTAATGTATAAAATTAAAATAATTAATGTAAAATTTCTTATATCCATTTTTAAGTCTTTATTTACTTAGTAGCACGGTACAAGTTAAATACCATTTTAACGATAGTTTATCTGGTCTTTACCCTTACATTACCATGGCTTAGCACCATTTTTTTTATAAATATATAAATCATATTTTTCCACGTTTTTTTCAAAATAAATTATATTTTTAATAATTTTTTTTAATCCTCGATCAATTGCAACAAACATGGATTGTAACAGGTGAATATATGTGTTTTTTTCGATTTAGTAAGGTCTGCTAACAATATTCTATCATCTCATCTGTCAAACAAGTGAATAAAACTATCTCAACTATTTCATCAGGTACAACCTTTTCACCTTTGACTACGCCTAGCACAACTACCCCAACTACTTCATTGATTACCACTTCGCCCTCTGGATTTAGGATTACGCCTAGTACAACTACAATTCTTTTGTCACCAAAATTATAAAGAGTTGAACTCAGATGCACGTACGTTTTACCATAATCTTGGTAACGATGTACAGAGAGTGGGTTTACTTGAGGCGATTGCCGACGCGAGAGAGAAAGAATGCAAGAAACTGAAGGGGTACTATGATTTGTATTGATTTGTTTATGATTTGTTTTGTTTATATTCATCGCTAAAATTTTCACCTTAACTGTTTAGTTTATTCGTGTTCTCAGTTTTTTAAAGCTCATTTAATAAATATCCATAACCAGTGCTAGTGTATGGGTGTATGTGTGTATTTCCTCGCTCTTTTCTTTTTTTTCCTTCTCCCAAAGGTCTGTTCAGTGTAGCTGCACCCTCAACGTTAGTGATTTAGAATAATGAGACATGAATTTTTTTCAAAAGAAAAATTCTGGTGCATAAGCCAATGTTAGTTATAATATTGACATTATCATTTTAATAAATAAAATATGATAAAAAATAATTAATAGAAAAATAATAATTTTTTAATTTTCTCCTATATTATCAATTCCAAAATATGTGCAGTATAGTGAACTATAATAGAATTAATAAAGAAAGCACTTGTTATACAGTGTATACTGTAGGTTTATTAGTGTGCAATACCCGTGTTTAGCCCGGGAGTGGTTTTTTCTAGTTTGTTCAAATTAATTGGATTTAAAAATATATATTATTAAACTAAAGTTTTTCTCTACTGTTTCTACTGTTTCTTAAAACTCATCTAATTATTCCGCTAAATTTTTTATTGAATATGTGTCTTTTCATAAATCTCTCCCACGTAAATCGTAAAGCGTGTGATCCCATTATCAGTTATATAATATTACTAAATTAGCTAATTACCACATTCCAAAAGGTTGCAAGTCGAAATAAAAAGTGATTAATGAGTTTAGTATAGTTTTTCGTTCAAATTTCAATTAATGTTACTTTCATGCATATTTTCGAAGCAACAAAACGAAATAAAATTTATACTATTTAATTAAAAGAAAATAACAAATTTAAATTCGTAAATTACTGGATTCAAATGTTTTTGCGTGTACCCAGACTATATAAGTTTTTTATTATGTTAACACGTTTTTTATTATTTTTGATTGTCTCGTGGTTCATAGGACTTATTTAGTTGGTTTAATTTCACGTGCATGAGCGAGTATATGTATACTTTTTCAATGAAACCATTTGTTATTATTATATATTACTAAACATGATTAATTAATAATTTAAAGAAAGCTTAACAGTAAGTTCATTGGATTTAATCAAGTTTTTTGTAGAATCCTATGCGAAGAATAACAAATTATTCTTCATCACTACCAAAGGTTGTGTTTCCCTTTATTACAAATTTTCTTATTAAATTATTTTTTTTAAAAAAAAAAATTGACATTGCTAAAGAAAATAAAATTAGCGGAAATCTCTATGCATGGATCTTGGATCTTGAGCGTCTATGAAGATTGAAATTATCTTGTACTCTTTTTTTTAATGGGTTGATAACTAATTAATAGATTCGCCTTTATAAAGAAATTAGATTTAATGAGTAAAAACTCGATCTGTTGAAAAAAAATTTATATATTTAATGATTTATTATTATAACAACTACTCTGCAACATAATCCACCGGTATATTTCCTTAGGATTTTAATTAGTACTGTACTGCGGATGTGATCTCTATTATAATTATCCGTATTCCGTAGGGTTGTAATGACAGTGAGTAAGATAAAAGCCCACGCTGATTACTACGCTGATTAGTCAAATACGGTCAATCATATGACCACTCGTACAACCTAAAAATTACGTAACATTAATTCATCTCTTTTTTAGTAAATCAATTTAATGAGTAATGCTTTTTATGTACTGATAAATTCTGCTACTATGACATCAAGGGTAAGGATAATTGATATAAAAAACTCGAAGAAACTAAGAAACTATTAAATTTCTTTCTAAAAAAATTTCAAGCTATATTTCTGTAAGGATGTTCAAAGACACTTTCAACTGCCACTTACGTCGCTCCATTCGTTCAAACTTCAAAGGTTCTAATTTCGAAGTCTCCTAGTGGTGCGTCTTTCGTATAACTTTGTTTTATTATGATTTTATAATGTTCATTTTTTTTCATTTTCTATTTAGAATTAAGAAATACTTCTTTTGGTGCTGCTCTTCCTTCAACACTGGTTCTGGCAATAAATCACCATTTGGTGGTATGTTTTCTATATGACCTTTCATTTTGTAATTTTCATCATTTTTCAATTGTCTATTTAGAGTTCAGAAGACGGGTTACTTCCGAGCCTTCTCTTGAAAACAAAATTCCTGAGTTGGATAATAAACTTTAAATGAGTTGGTTTTGTATGACATTGATAAACGTCGAAATGAGTTTATCGAACGTAGGATTACCAAGGCCGAGAACAAGTTTCTTTTCCTTATCGTTGGTGCCACTTTTTCAACCATTGGTGCTACCAAAATGTTCTTGGAAAAAAAAGAGACTGGTAAAAAGATTGCTGGTGTCTAGAACGTTCTCAGAAAAAAATGAGACTGATAAGAAGAAGTAACCTTTTTTTTTTAAAAAAAAACAGTAACGCGTTTATTATTTATGTATTCTACAAATCATAACATAAAATAATAAAAAACACTTAGAAAGAAATAGACCCAAAGCCATATTTCCCTATTAGAAGAAGTAACCTCTTCTTTTCTACATTTTATATTATAAAGTCAGAATAGCTTAGCTTATACTCCTTTTTTCTATATTTTAATCATAGTAAGAATAGCTTATCTTTGCTTTTCTTTGCAATTGGTTTATTTTACAAGAACATGTAATAACGAACTGTTGCTTTTCATTAAAATGATTTTAATAGTGAAACCGTTTTATACATATAAAAAAATAATGACGAAAACTGCCTCATTCCCAATATATCAATACTTATAAAATATTTCCAATGGTGAAATAATATAAATAAAATATAACTATTTATGATATTATTATTATATATGAATTTTATTTTTCTATTTAATGGAATATTTTCTTTGGGTTTCTCTTCCTACTTCTAAACTTACTAGAACAAATCGACTTTTTTAAATAAATAAAGGTCAACAACAAACATGAATTATAAGATCAATAGATATATGTGTCTTTTGATTAAAGTCTACTAAATGATATTTTGTCATTTCAGCAACGATTGAAACTACACTGGTGCAACACTTATCACACCTACTTCACCCATTTTCACCAGGTACAACTTGTAAGTATATGTGTTCTTTGATTTAACTAAATGATATTCTATCATTGTAGACACTCGTTGGAGATTAATAGCCAACCTATTTGGGTTACTAGTGGATTGGGTGTTATCATAAATGATTTACATGTATCAATGTTTGTTTATTACTTTTCTCTTTACTAAACGTTTCATTAAAAATTTAGTAGTGACTACATGAAACGTCCAATGCAAGCTTACACATAACCAACAAAATAAGTCTTGTGGCCCATATTACTTTTTGCTTCTCCAACTATCAATTTTTTAAGTAAAATTAGAATATAATGTTATAAGGAAAATGGCGATACATTTGAAATTATAACATATAATTCATGAACTTAATAGTAAAATGAAATTGACCTAGAGTTAAAGAACTAAAAAATTAATAACTCAAAAAAAAGAACAAAATCCATTCACCTGAAATATTTATAGTAAACTAGAGTTACTAAGACTTCGCCACTTAGATTCTTTTCAGATATTAGATGATGCAATATCTTATATTTTCAGGAGAAAATTATCAAGAAAAAATAATCTGATGTGCGGAATTCACAACACGAAAATAATTTGCAAACAGTAAACTTATTACCATCTACTTGGTACTGTATCTTATGTATTATTTTCATTTAAAATTTAATAAATTTATAAAACCCCACTTCTTGTATGATTTTTCTAATAAATACAAACATTTGGTTATTACACCACCAAAGATTACATGGGTGATTGCTTGTAACAATTTTTGTTGTTGGATTTAAGAAAATAAAAGTAGACGACTTTGTTTTGTGCTATCTAGTGCTCCTACCGGGTCAAGTCAGGTCGGGTTTTGAGAATATATTTGACCCGATCTGAAGTGAAAAAGGAGGACTCGTATATGTTCAGGTCACACAATTTTATAACCCGAAATCGACTTGACCCGAGTGTAGTTTAACCCGTATAACCCGGGTTCAAACTCGAATTTTTGGTTAACCAATAATAAGAAAAATTGACCTACAAGATAATGACAATGATCATCATGTAGGTTGCACAACCTTTATCTATCGTTGCAATACGAATTTAAAGTTATATATTATCCAATTACATTTAATATAAACTTCATTTAAACTTAAAAGAATTTACATTACATATGTATAATTAACTATTCAATTAAGATTAGAATTAAAATTCAAAATTTTATTAAATGCATCAATAGAAACTCAATAATACCTTTATTTCTGCCAGAATTTCAAGCACATGCTCTAATTGTTTCGTTTTAACTTAATAAAGGTGCGAAAAAAAAGATTTGGATAATCAAATGATTATTCGGGTTGACCCGGGTTAAAACCCGGGTCAAGGAAATATATGACCCGACCCATCGGGTCGGGTCATGCGGGTCATGCAGGTCACGAGTCACTCAAAATTACAAGTATCGCACCCGATTTAAAAGTCGAGTCGGGTCAAAATAACCTGGGTTAACTCGGATTATTCGGAGCACTAGTGCTATCAAATGGATTCACAAGTATTATGCAATATTAAAAAATTAATATCGATTTACCTCTTATTTGAAAGCTTAAATTTAATCTGATTATATAGTAATAAAACCATTAAAAACCGAATTTTCTCATTCTATTTTGATTACTTATTACTAGTGTTTGGATCCGTAACCGGATTCAACTGGATATATCCGGATAATTTTTTTTTTCGGATATCCGGATAATTGCGGTTTTTACCCGGATAAAAAACTGGTTAAAAATTATCCGGGTTGACCCAGAATCCGGATAAAAAAAAATTTTTTTTTTGATTTTAATTTTATCCTTTTAATTTTCATTTCATTTGTAAAATATTCTATTTGTATCATTGATTTATTAATAAAAAAAGATTTATTTGTCTAATAAAATTATTTTATCATGATTTAGAATTTATTTTATATAATACAATAAATCTTATACTGTTAGAATAGAATTATTCAATAAAAGAGTAAAAAAATATAACTTACTAAAAGATTTATCATTTTATTTAATAAAAGTAAAATTCACTTTATTTAAAAACATTTACATAATAAAAATAAGACACTAACAAAAATAAATTTAATATCAATTATTCTAATACATCCTCATCCTCCACAAAATCATTATTTTCCACTTCTAAATCTGGTGGAAATACATTAATATGATCCATAGTTTGCATGTTGCGTTTTAAAAATACCATTTTTCCTACTAAACCAGGATCCAATAAACTTCTTTTTGCCGTAATGTGATTCCCTGCATCAGAAAAAAGTCGCTCAGAAGCTACAGAAGTAGCAGGAATTCCTAAGTATTTTTGTGCAATAATAGAAAGAATTGGAAAAATTTCTTTTTTAGTCTTCCACCAATTTAATGGATTTTTATTTTCTCTAGCAACTGGCAAGAGAAAATAAGTAGTAATTTCATCAGCTATTGTTGATGATGCAGTAGATTTTTCTGTTGTTTGAAATACTTTTCTTATTGATTTTTCACGCATCTCTCTATACTCA